AAAAAAAAAAAAAAAATGGTGGTGTTCCCGAATAAAGTGGAATGGACAAAAGACCTGGAATGTGAAATAAATATATAATTGTACTGTGCATGATCAGTACATACAGCTGGACTGAAAATAGATTAGTTCCCAGCCTGATGGGCTACATTCATGTGCTATTAATATACTGGATTAATGTTTGGAGAGGCAGGGGGAGTATAGAAGAGGGATGGGTAGGAAGTGGGGTAGCAACGTGGTAAGCGCTAGTAATAGAGTTTCAGATACTTGCAGTATTAAGATAACCTACCTGCTTTTAACTCCAGTTCTCTCTACTTTCAAATACTAGGCTTTGATATTTTTTGGTATCCAGCTTATTATTTCACAAGATTTAATGTATAACAACTCATAGCCTTACGACAGCTTGTGAAATCTTTTCTTTCTATATAATTTACCATTTTGTGGTGTATTGCAAACCATTCCTTTGTTTTGGCCTATGTCTTTAACTGTACCATGTAAATTCATAGGCAACATCTTCATACCAGGTCATCCTCATAGCCTTTGTAAGACTGAGGCTGCGCCTCTGGAACTGTTAAGGTGATTTTGCAGGCTCTGTAAAGGTATAACATGGCCTGTTGGATGAACTTGCAGTACTCACTGACTTTTGGACTGTGCCTACTTACCTTACAAACTCTCTGAACTATTTGCCTCATAAACTCTGCAACAATAAGCACATTGCTTGACACAGTTACAGGATGGTGTTTATAATGCTCAGGCTGAAGTAAGTACCCAGCAAAGTAATTTTTGTTTACAGAAACCAGATTAAGGTTTCTAGCCCTTTACTATGTTGCTGCACAATGAGCCAAATTTGTTCCTGTCATAACACAATTGATTTTAATGTTGCTTCACCCAGTATTAATTTAGCCTAGTATGTGCACACTATTTCTTCTATAAAGAAGATAAAGTGCAGTGCCGCTTAGTTTAGTTATCCTTCATTTTCCGGCACTCTAATCTTAACACATGCCCGTGCACTTGTGCTTGCTCTCTCCCATTAAATTATTATCCCAAGAAACATAAGGCCTGGTCACAGTTTCTTGCACTGAAGGTTTGTTAGCTGACAAATATACGCTCAAGAACTCATTAACAGTGAAATAGACATAAACATTAATTCACAACATAAATCTGACATATTTCCTATTATTGTGTGTTGTGTTTTTTTTCAGTGGAGCCGGCACTTTCAAAAGGGAACAATTGCTTGGATGCAGCCAAAGCCTGTAACTTGAACGATACCTGCAAGAAATTCAGATCTGCTTACATAACCCCCTGCACCAGCAGCACGTCTAACGAAATCTGTAACAAGCGGAAGTGTCATAAAGCCCTCCGGCTGTTTTTCGACAAAGTCCCCCCAAAGCACAGCTATGGGATGCTCTTCTGCTCCTGTCGAGACATAGCCTGTACAGAAAGGAGACGGCAGACTATTGTTCCTGTGTGTTCATATGAGGACAAGGAGAAACTAAACTGCTTGGATTTACAAGAATCCTGCAAGAAGAATTACATCTGCAGGTAAGATAGCACATGGCAGAGGAGTGATTAATGAGGTATCAGAGAGAACCTTTCGGAGCTGCTGAAATTGCCAAGTCTAAGAATCAGAATTTCCACCAGGGAATAGGACAGTCAGTGGGGAAAAAACTGCTTGACATCTTTAACTGATTAACAAAAGCCAGCATCTGGTCACAGTATGTGTTTCCTCTGACACTGTTCATAACCACTCACTCACATTATGAAAGATCTTTTAACCGCCAGGAAAGATGTAAAAAAGATGAGTCTGTTTCCTACAAAATGTTGCAGGAAACTTTTCTTTACTTATCTTCATGAAATGATTTTTTCCATAGATGACAAGCTGAAAACACAGTTAATAGTCCCTGCAGTCAATGAGATCTCTACTTTGAGCTCCAGTAACCGTTCATAAGTTGTGAACTGTGTGCACAGCCTGACACAGGCCTTTTCTGCAAGGTGTGGGTAGCAAAGGAAGGGAGCTCCCCCCTGGCAATGGACCAGCTCCCACACAGCCAGCTCACAGCTGTACTAGGCTTGGGACTGCTTCACCTTCCCTCCCCCCGCCATAGCCATCTACAGAGAGAGGCATGAGATTGATGTATCTAGACAGTCGTTGACTGTCACTGTTCACTGACCTGACTTCCAGTTTTCTTCCTTTTCTGTGTGCTTGCCTCCCCTCTGCCCTGTGGAACGCAGAGCTTAAGGAATGGCCACGCTTTTAGCCAGTTTTCTGCAAGTTGTTACATCACAGTCACGGTGTTGCATACAGGGCTTTCTCCATCCCTAGTACTTCCAGTATACATTAGGTGTACTGCTTATCTGGGAAAGCTGTTACACCAATGCCATCTTTATAAAGTTCTACACAAGAACTCCACCTGGCTTGCAATGAGCAGACCTGCTGTGAATTATCAAAAGTTGTGAATTGGGTATAGAGAGAAATGCAACTTCACGTAGTCCAGGATTCTGTATTTATTGTTGTGTATTTATGGTTATATCTTTAAAGCCACTGCAATGCCTGCTGTAAAAAAATAATAATAAGGGGTATGACTATGATCCCTCACTGTATTATGGAGGTACTAAACCTTTTGACCTTGATCCTCATGTAAGCCTTAGCATGGGGACCTGCAAAGGGGAGTGGGCGTAGATGGCTTTCTTTTCTCTATCTCTGGGAAGCAATGGGCTGGTCTAACTCTGGTGGTACTTAGAGCAACTCCTTGTGTACTTGGAGTTCTAGTCTACTTGAATGCCCTGCCAATGGCCATCTCAGCAGCCCAGGATCTTCAGACTGTAGCACCCTCTTGTCAAGGACCCATTGAGCACTTCCTATATCAGACACCACAAAGTGATGCTCATCTGTAAGTCCCTTCCTTGTAAGTCTCTCCTGACTCCCAAGTATTTTCTGCATAAATGGCTCCTCATAGTGACCCCCAAAAGTACCTCCCCAATAACAGAGCAGCAGTATTTCTGCTCCGTGTTTTACTCGGGTTCCACAGAATTTCAGTGCCTGCAAGACGGGGGAGAGGATTTGCCACATAAAGAGTTTCCTAATACTTAAGCTACGGCAGGGGATATTTAGCTTAAATACTACCATTACTTCTTGTTCTGGCTTGGCTATAAGCTCTGGTCAAATATAGCCTTAGCAGCTACATTCTTAATGGTATTTTGTTTCCTCAGATTTCATTAATCTTGCCCTGATTTTGTGCCTTATATATTCCATCACTGCACAATCTTGTTTGATAAAACTACTATTACGGTTGCCCAAAGCTATGATCAGCCTGATACGGAATTGATTTTTCCAGATTCCTATTGCAGTTCCTTCTCGCTCAAATTCCATTTCAGAAGCTTCAGAGTCTTTGTGGCTCGCTGCACCAGAAGTGTTGTGGGGGGTTAGGTAAAGACGTGCAGCGATGTTGCAAGCATGCAGGGAACACCTGCATCGTGTCATTAGGACTAGGGACAGACGTTCACAAAGCAAGAGCCTAAATTGATTCAATCTTTGCAGGTTAGTCTAACCTGGCTAGGTTGAACCAGTCAAAATTGGATAGGCAGTCTGTCTAGACTGAGGAAAGTCAGGCGCATGCCTGCAGTGGCTCAGGGTAGAAGCTGGGGGGTGCTAGAGCAGCCCTCTCTCCCCTTGTGCAGGG